ATATACACTGCTCACAAAAATAAAGGGAACACTCAAATAACACATCCTAGATCTGAATGAATGAAATATTCTCATTGAATACTTTGTTCTGTACAAAGTTAATTCTCAACAACTCAACCTTCTTTGCCTTTGTTTATAAATAGTATTATATTACTTGTTTGTTCATAGTTATCTGACACTAAAACTGTCTGATTACTGACAAAAGCAGTCCAAGTACCTCAGAGCCAGGCATTGGACACTGTGAGTCTATTTAGTTCATCAGATCATTAAAACCATTTTTCTGTTTCTGTGTGTATACACATAACCATTTAAATTACTGGTTAATCACTTATTTTTATGACTGCATATCAAATAACCTATTGCAGTCCTAATGAAATATAACATACACATTGTGAATAGAAGGGGATAGAGGAGCTGCCCAAGTGGATGGGGAGAGGAAAATCTTAGCTTCTCTGCTTGGGTTGCTGTCCCTGTGACACCACACAGAAGATAATGGATGACGGATAAATTCAGTCAAGTTTATACAAATGTAATGCTAACAAGTTGGTTATGATGGATTTCACTTATAAACAACTTGGACAAAAGGTCATTTAGCTCTTAATTTTCCAAGGAACAAAATTGTCTACAGATGTTTGTGTTTTTTTGTTGTTGTTGTTTTTAATTTCAATTCTATATTGGTTAAATATTTAAAAAGGAGTTGTTGTCAAGCAGCAGATGAGTTCTTTTTCACTGTCAAAATGGGCATTCATGAATATTTATTTTGAGAATGTCAACAAGCCTAGCCTGAAAGCAAACTTGGACTTTAAAAGTGCCGCATCTTCTTCACCACCTAGGTGCTGAACTGCATCGTGGACATGGTGGAGAAAACCAGGAGGTCAGTAAGCGTGCTGAGACGCTGCCAGGAGTCGGATCGAGAGGAACTGAACTACTGGAGGAGACGTTCGAGCGAGCAGGAAGATCTTCGCAAAGGAGGCTCCGGCTCCACTCCGTTTTCCAAAACACACAGCCCGCTCTCTGCAGAGTCGGGTAAGGTTCTTTTTGTACTGTAATTTCAGGTCAGGTCAGATCATGAGTCATTTGTTGTCTTTTCATGTTTGTTGCCTGTTGTTGTTTTCCACAATTTTTTCCATTGCTTTTGTGATGAAATAAATCAGTTTCTCTAAACCTTTATACTTTTGTTTATTCATGCTCACAAATTTTCCCTGTTTTGAGATGTTGTCCTGAAAATTTCTGCCTTATGTAAATATGAAATTAAATAAATTGCTATTTATTCACTGCAAGTTTTAGTTTTGAGTGCTGAGTTCTTCTTGCTTTGCCTATCAAAGTATTCTCAAACTTCCTGGTGACATAAATCCACAACAAAGTAGCTAAGAATACCAGTAAAAAAAAACAAATAGGAGTCCGCTTGGATCCTTAAAAAATTAAAGTGACTAAAGGAGGAAATTTCTGTTATTACAAGCTTCTTCCAAATGTTTTCAGGAAATTATGACACTTTCTCATTTTGACATTCAAAATTAGAGTTGGCATTACACTACTATGGCAAAACTCATTTCTGCATTATGCTCTTTACATCATCTAGTGGCCATAAATAGAGCTGCACCCATGAATTCAGATGTCGGTGTGAGTCCTTCCACAGTTAGGCCCCCAGTCTGCTGTGTACTGGCAGTGTTCTCTCTGTGTGCCAGCCTTGCCATCCCCCTGCTGCTCCATAGTCACAAACAGGTGCCAGGACTGGCCTCGGCCATATCGGCCACAGAAGGGCTGTCCTGCCGTCCTGCAGGCTCAGAGACCTAGAGCTGGCTGACTCGCCAGCGCGCCATCTGGACCCACAGCCGGAAAGCCTGCCTGCTCGCCTGGGCTCGGGCCGTGGTGGAGGGGGTGTATGAAGGCTTGTTGGAAGAGAGGGGATGGAAAGGAAGGGAAAGGGAAGAAAGAAGTAAGGGGAAAAGAGACGAGAGAAACGAGGGAAAGAGGAAGTCCGCCAGTCAGCCGAGCTGGAGAGAGAAGTGTGTTGAGATGTAGGGAGGGAAATTTGAGGGAACAGTCTGAATATTGACACAGCTTGTTGGTCTGCTTTTTCCTCCAAGCCAAACACATTCCTTTCTAAAGCTGTCAGATCCCGGATCAGTCCAAGAATCTGACAACCAACAATTATGTTGGCTGTGTGTCTTAAATATGCAGACATGTTTGCATCAGTGACTAAATTAACGACTTGGTGAAAAAGAAACCATCAGTGTATAGCTCTGGGGACTTTCTTTCTACACACCTTTAACATTGACTGTCTTGATGCTATTTTAAAAAGTCAATGTGTTTTTTTTAAAAATCCTGACAGGTGCTTATCCACTGTTTCTACCTCTCCCACAGACTCCCAGCGGGACTTTGGTCCGCGGCCAGGTTCAGCATATGTCACTGACGAGATCTGGAGGAAAGCTGGTAAAAATTTCACTCATTGAAATCATTCAGGCCCCTTTACAAAGATGACTACTTTCAGATTATATTATAACTTATTCACTAAGAGTCTTAGACCGCTGTATGTTGAGCTCATGAACCGAAGTAAACTCTAAACACTCGTCCTCCTTTGTGTACAGAGGAGGCAGTGAACGAAGTGAAGCGTCAGGCCATGGATGAGGTTCAGAAAGCAGTGGCAGAGGCCGAGCAGAAAGCTTTTGAGATGATCGCTGCAGAGAGAGCAAAAATGGAGAAGACTCTAGCCGAGGCAAAGAGGAAGGCTCAAGAGGATGCCATCATGGTCATCAATGAACAGGAGGACTCGAGTGAGGTGAGCAGAGAACAGAGTTATGTCCCTGGAGAGATTTTGCCGTCAGTATCACAGTGTTAAATATTAAACACCAAGCTTGCATGGTTACATTGAAAGCTATTGTGAATATTATTAGCAGTAAAAACTGCACAGTACAAAAATAATGTTCCCAATTTGGGATTAATCAACTTAAAATGAATGTATCACTTGCTTTCTAAGTAAATATTCTAGGAGCTGAATATGCGGTCCAAAAATATTCACCTTCCTGGCAGATTTAGATTTAAAGCTTAGCATTTATGGTTATACAATCTAATCCTCCTTATGATTGCTTTTCAGATTTCTGCATGTCCCCACAGGTATTTTTGATGAGTTGCTGATGTATATTTGCTAATGACCTCCCAGTCTTGGAGATTGGAAGGCCTCCTTGCCATCACCATAATCATTAGCTCCAACCACACACCGTGTTCAAAGGAACCCCGAAATGTTAAAACTTCTTCCTGTCCAAACAAGCATGGTGATCAACTTAAAAGATTACTTCAAATCAAAATCTGACAGGAGTTTACAAACAAAATCTAACTGAATGCCTACATTGATAGCTGCAGCTTTTAAACTCAAAATTTATTTTTATGAATAAACCATTAGCTAAATTACTATGAGATGGGAGAGACCTATTTAATTCTAAGTCAACTAACTTGTTCTCCCTGAAGAGAGTGATTGTGATAATATTAAAAAGGCATATTGAATGTCTCAAACACTAACATTTAAATAAAGGACTGCTTGGTATAATTAAGACGGGCTAAATGTGTTCATCCAAAACTTGGATTTTTATGTTGAAACGAGAGGAAAGAGTTGGTGGGTGACGCAGTGATGAACTGTCAGTCACTCAGAAAGGAATCCTTCTAAGGTAAAGGGTGAAGAGCTCAAAGTCGATGCCAATTTAGAAAAAAAGTGTTAATAAATTATGATTTTTACCCCTTTTATTTGCTAGTTTTCAATGGTTTTTTCCGTCTATACTGAGTGCAAAAACTCCCTCAAAAACCAGGCTGCCAATGAGCTGATTGTCTAGGTTGTGTTTGCCTCTTCTATCCACAGTTCCATGAGAAGCTTGGTGAAGAATAAAGTGGAACTGAAAACTGCATTGCATGTCAGCACAGTTTAACACCCATCATAACTTATTTCTTTTGCTTCTTTTCGTGCATGTTTTTAGTGTTGCTGGAACTGTGGCCGTAAAGCTAGCGAGACGTGCAGCGGCTGCAACGCCGCTCGTTACTGTGGCTCCTTCTGCCAGCACAAAGACTGGGAAAGGCATCACCTCATCTGCAGCCCAGGACTTCAAGCTCAGCCTAAACCGGTCTCTGCCATCGCTGCGAACAGGGTCGCTGCCGTGACCGCAGCGGCTGCAGCTGGGATGTCTCCTGTCGGCGTAGCCGGGGTCAAAGCTCCCGACAGCATGCCTTTGGCCTCCAGTCCAGGTGGCGAAAAGGCTTCAGTTGCTTCTCGGTCCTCCACTCCCTCCACCCCTGCCTCAGCCTCTGAGACCAATGGACATTAAGGATGCAGAGGACTTCAGAGCTTAACACAACGACTGTCCTCTTTGTTGTTGGGGAAGAGTTGAATCAGCAGCATGAGGAAACTATTTGTGGGTTAAGTTAGGATAACAGATTTTTCATCATACTTTGGCAGATAAATAAAGACAGATTATGGATGACTGTTGTGAGTGATGCGTCAACTGGGACTTTGGCTTTGGCGAAGAACAAAGAGACTTGTTTAGCATGCAGTCATTGGATGAACAGATCTCCATAACAGATGGAAACGTCTTTCTGGTCCAAAACCCCAAATCCAGGATCTGTGCTGGAAAAAAATTTGATAATTGATCACAAGAGAGGAAGTTTTTAAAGGAAGGCATAAAACTCTCCCACCCACTAGACAATATCACTGTTTCTGTGTGTAAAACTAAGATGAGGAGGTAGGTAAATGTAAACAGTGTAAAAGTACCAGCCCTAAGTGTCTGTCTTTGTTGTTTAGTAAAAAAACAAAACAAAAAAAACAAAAAAACAAATCTGACAGCCAGACATCTGAATGCGGTCACTGCAGCTCCTCTCTGTACGTAAATATTCGCTCACCAACTTGTCCGTTTTTCATACGTGTGAATGAGTCAAATGTCGTGTTGTCAGTGAATATTGTAAAGCATATGATTATTTTTGTTAAAGCAATATTAAAATGAAGTGTTCAGGTATTTCAAGCAGTTCCCCCCCCCATCACCAAAGTTTTCTGTTGCTAAAGAAAGTCATTTCCATGGCCCATAAATGTCTTTTAGGAACATAAAATTCTAACATTAAACTTGGAAATCACTTTGTGTCATTCCTGATCGTCAGAAACTATTCAGCCATGACTTTCATTGTTGTTACACTTTCATTTTGGTACTTGTTCATGTCATTAGGGTCACTGCAAAATCTTTCACCAATGCATCAGAAGATTAAAATCATTCTTGTTATGGATTTTAGTTAGCTTAGTTATGACATAACCACAAAGAGAAAGGTGTCACTGATCCGTGTATCGCAGTCTGTCTCACAGAAAATCTCAGGAGTATTTGTGTGCAAAAATCATTCTTCTTCTTTTCTCACAGTTGGGCTTAAATTTGGTGATAACCTTTGATTTATCCTACTCTGCTGTTACACCTGTGCTGTCCCTGTTTTTGTTTGTTGTAAGATGACTTTGTAAAGAAGATTATGAGAGAAACCCTTTATTTTGAGCCACAGTTCCCCCCCTTCCTTCATTCTATAAACATGTTCTCTTGTTATGATGCATAACTTCATATGAAAAACTTATCTTGACATGAAGTATGGAATAAAGAAGTAGAGCTACTTCAGAATTGCTTAATTAATTTTGTGTCTGTTTATTCTGAGTAAGAGGAATGTAATGAAGGTCAACCTAATGAGCTTAAGGTCTGGCCCAATAATTTAGCTGATAAATACATAGTAACATATCCTCATGCTGGTTTTGATTTTTTTAAATCTTGCCATGCATTAAATTTATAGAGTCTTGAATTTCCATACAGAGTCTATGCCAACGCATCGGCAGGAATTGAAATCCCAAATATGAAGAGATTACATTTTCAGAACATAAAATGTTCCTGTAAGTGCAAATTTACACAAAGATATAAAACGGTTCACCCATAAGAAAAATCTGAGCTCTCAGCCAATAAAAAAAAAAAAAAAAGTCAGGAATATCCAAATAATCTCCATCATAAATTGTTTTTAACATTAAGGTAACTTTTTTCAGTTTCGTTTTAGGATTCTTTGTGAATCTGGTCTCTGGATGGCAAAGTCATAAATGAGAAAAAAAAAGCATCAAAAGAAAACTTAGACTCAAAATAACACCTGGAATCACAACTTGGAGCAAAGACCTGCCCACAACGGTAACTTCATGGAAGGAGCCAGTGAGGAATGAAACAAACTGAAGAGCTTAAGTACTGAATAAGAGAAGGAAGTAACAAAGAAACCAGCTGATCTGATGGAAAGCAGTTGAGTGAAAGTGCAGGCAGAGGGAAATCAAGGGTAGGCAACAACTGAGGAAGGGAGCAAGGCGGCAGGCTGATGGAAAGCTCAAAAACTAAGAAAGCAGAGACAACTAAAGAAAATAAAAAATCTCAAAGAGTTCTAAGACAAAAGTAACTCTTAGTGACTTTGAATTCCTGGAATTCGAAGATTTTTTTTTTTTTGACTTTAACCTCAGTAGGATAAAAGTTATTCAAACAGCACCTTAGACTTTAAGAGAGAGGTAAGAGGTAATCAAATGGAAAAAGATGTGCCAACAGCAGACTTCGCCCCTCTGTCTTGATTTGTTTTCCATTTTACACACCATATGTTATTTTGCCAGATCAAGAAGAAACAATCTCAGTTCCTAGACAACATGTTTATCAAATAGTAATAGTTTTTTGCAATCATAACTAACCTAAAACAATAAACATTTTATTTGATTTAAGTAATAAACATACATTTTGCTTATAATTTGACATTTTTTGTTGGTATCAATATTAAAATGATCAGATTTCAGAAGAAAAAAATATTAACATTTAAATTGTGAAGTGTTTTAAAATGTTTCAAAATCATTGCATTCTCCCTATTCTTTAAGCAATATGCAACATTTTCAGTGGTTTTAAAATCTTCTGACAAGAAAGTAAATTTTTGATAATACTTGAACATAAATATCACAATTTGTATATCACAAAAACATTTTTTGAGCATATTTTTTTTTTAAAAAAAATTAAATCTTCTAAAATGTGTGCAACAATAGCAGCAGGATTACACATGGGTAGTATTCCAGTGAGAGCTTAAGTCAATCTCTAAATTTTGCAGTCTTTTGTCCTCTTATTGTTGTGAATAATTTAATGACTGCTAATTAAATATGCAAGAGACATTTTTGAATTCCATTAGAACGAAGTGAGGGCGTCCTTGGCAAAGCAGAGTTTTCTCAAAGGGGGTAAACAATATTTCCAGGCGATTATTTATATATCTCCATAAATATTAGTGTAGCTCTTAATTAAAATAACAGGATTTGTGGTGAGAAGATGCGTTATTTATTGTACAAGGTGGCAAGTGTCAAAGTATGTAACATGAAAACATACCACAAGATGGCAGTAAAGGCTATATGTTGAGGATGAAGACACATCAAGCTACGGGTATCACAATGGAAATTGCCATTAGAGACAAATAAAACATTTTCTTTTCAGTGATTACAATAATAAACACCATGACGTTATTACTGTTAACACTGCCAAGTAGACACCTTTCAATTTGAATATAAAAAGTGCAAAACATGTTCAATGACTTCTGAATTGCTTTAACTTTTTTCAGCCATCATATCAAATGATGCCTCAGATATGTTTTGTTCAAAGGCTGTAACTGCAAACAGAGCTACATTTCCAAAGCATTAAATGTCTTATACCTAAAGGGCACTGACAACAATTCAATGAAGCTTTTACATCCTCCTTCAAATAGAAAATGATTGTCTTAAATGGCAAACTAATTATTTTTTGACCTAACAAATTGTCAAAAGATGATGCATTTTAATGGTTTTGGTGGAGTGTTTTGTTGTTTTCGAACAAAATGTGCTAAAGTACACACACTCAACTCATTTGGATGGTGCATGACTCACGTTGTAGTCTGTTCCAGTGGAGAGTTAAATATTGCATCACAGGATAAAAGTTGCCCTTTAGAACAATTTTCTTTTGATCTGCAATAACATTTTTTTTCCCTTGTCATGCAAGAAAAATATCTTTTGGGTAATCACTGCTCTACTGGATGTTCAAACAAAGTCAAACTTATTAATGTTAAATTCCAACAAGAATGAAAATAGAGGAGATTATCATTGTGAGAAGAATTGGCCTGCAGAGACCGTGACAGTTGGAGGACATAACACAAAAGTAACTATAGAGATAAGTAACCTTAGCGGTGGAATAGTGTTAGATGTTATAGGAAGTTAGAACAGTGCAATGAGCCGCAGCTGCAAAAGTAGAGGCGTTGTATTTGATCTTTCCTTTTTCTTTGCCTGTCAACCGTGTTGACAGACAATTATTGTAGTAACAGCCATTAGCCTTAGTGTTCATTTGAATTTGCTTTTATAGGGGTCAGAGCAACGATAAAAGTCAGGTGCTGTTAAGTAAGAATGAAAAAAACCCATAGGACTTCTTATTTTAACCTTTACTTTGTACAGTTTTCATTGCATGTACGGAACATCCACATAATCACAAAAACCGTTGGTTGTGCTTTCTATCAAGTCCCATTTTTTCCATGACTTGATGTCAAAGGAGGAAACAGGTGTTTTCCTGTTTCCTCCTATCACCACCTCTTTTTTGATCACCTGAGGGAGGGATTGCCCAGCTGTTGCCTCCTGCCTTGAGTTCAATGATGTAATAGCAATCTCCACAAAAAAAAAAAGATATGTAAACTGGTGACTCAGCTCCAGATGGTTATGCTATATACAAGTAATCAAAACTCCCCTTTTGTGTACTTTGGTAGATTTCTTTCTACTTATCTTGTCTCCCTGCATTTCCAGAACAACATACCTGACCATAGGTTGAAGCCCCATTTGGAGAAATACCCAGAATTGTGAACCTTCACAAACTTAAGCTAAAATGATTCTTAATTAAAATAATCTGACTTGTTTTACCTACCATCATCCCACCTTACCTCTCCACTGGTCCGTACCATGAAAGACCTTGTAAGTAAACCATGTCTTCAAAGTAGAATACTTCAGAATTATTTTGCATTATCAAGCACAACCTTTAGCATTTCAACAACACATTAAAGTCACCACTGCTGTCTGTACAAAGATCATGAAGTGATGTCGATCATAAGTGACTCATCTATTCTCTGGGCAAAATTGTAGCAGAGGATTGTGAATCTCCTTTGGTCAATGTGGAACTGCTCTCACTTCTTTGTGGCCTCTCTTTTGTTTGATTGTTTGGCTCTGCATTGCCAGTTCTGAATTTACTGCTATTGTGCCAAAAGACGGATCGAAGCGATCAGCAGTCAGAAAACAATGTGTTCATCTCACATTGTGGTGAGCTACATTTAGTTCTTTATTCAAAAAATATTCCCACAATTTAATTTTTGCACCAAGTTTTGTGGCATCTTGTTAAAGGAAGAGCCACTGAAAGAGACTTCAGTGTGTCCTTGTTTTCAGGGTTTCTAATAAATTGACGGCTAAAAATATGCATAACAGCAGCACAGTATAAAACACGTCTCTCCCTTTTCACCTCTTTCTTTCATTTCATTCCTTATCCTCTTTCTTTCGTGTATTTTCTATGTTTCTTCGGTATCACGACTGAGAGGCTGAAGAAATGAGTCATTTCAAAGGGAAAAAAACAGAAAATGATGTGATTTAAAAGCTTTTCTGGTTATATCTTGTGTATTCTTAGTTTACTTTGTTCTGTGGTGGTAAGTAATCTGTTCAAGGTTTGAGTCATTCCTTGCCCACACAATAGTAAAACTTTTTTCTTAAACACAGAGATAAATATAAATGATGTGAA